TTTATTCTCTTAATGTCTATTTTCTAATGATTAATAAAACATTTAATTCTAACTCATTCAACCTAATACTCCTATAATGATGTTCAATAATGTCACCATTTCTGAAACAAGCTTGCAATTAGGCATTGCGTATCCTTACTATATGTTAATAACTATTTTTTGGCATTAAACCCGTAATTCTGAACATCTTGGCTTGCCATAATCCTAACCAAACGTATATTACACACGGTGTGTTTCCTATGCACGTAAAAACAAATTTTCGGGTATAAATTGTACGATAAACACACTGCGTGCGAGACGCATTTAGTTGATGTATCTATGGCAACCAAACGTCACTCACTGGTGAAACAAACGTGCAACGAACGGACAGTCAGATTACGTTTTGGCAGGGGAAAAACTGATCAGAAAATGTAACGAAAATGTAACAGAAGTTGTAGAAATGTAGTGGAGTAGAAAGTATAATAATTGCGAAGTAAAAGTAAAAAGTATGCACTATTTATTCTACTTAAGTAAAGTAAAGATACGTGAAAAATGTACTTAAGTAACAAAGTATTTGTACTTCGTTACATTCCACCATATTTTTTCTCTGAATAAAATGGAGCTAAGCTTTTTATTCCATCTTTTACACGTCTTTCTTTTTTTCTCATTTCACACGCAGGCTTTACAGGGTCGCGCCCCTGAATCCCGCATGCGCTCGAGTCTTGTGTCGTGGTAAGCCGAGGCGGCCCGTTCTGACAGGAAACCCCAACACTCACACACAACATTAATATTTAGATCACCCTCTGGGTAGACACAAGGAGAAAATATCTAGCCTGTAATCTCTCTAATATTATCCCTTCCATCTCCAGCTTTCTTCCTTTTTCATACCTGCGTCTCTCAGTCGCTGGCTCTTTCATTTCCCCCACAGATGGAGTCGCACTCAGACTCGGACGCGTTCCCTTTTCTGTCTCTGTCTTTCTTCCTTGGATCTCAGCAGGGACCTGGCAGCTCTCTACCTCTCCGTCTCACTCTCAGCTCATCTGTTTCCGTGCGTCTGAGCTGCCATCGCTCATCATACTGAACAATTTCCTTTCTGTTAACTGACTGATTCCAGTTCAGGCATTCAACATGTGTGCACCTGGAGCTGTCAATCAATGGGCTCTATGCACGGCGTTATTTCCGGTGAAGGATTAAGGTTGCTCGATAACTTCCGCCGATCGTAGAGTCCAATGCAATACCGAGAATTTATATTGATTTTTATACTCCATGGTTATACTAATGAAACGTTAGTCACAAAAACAGATAAAACAGACACCCCTCGTTGTGTTTATGCTTCTTTTTAAAATTATATTAAATAAACATAACTATATATAAAATTACATCTAAACGTATGTAGCCTACGTTTCGTTTCAAAGACGGGAGGACAGTAAATATTGAAGACTCTGCCATAATCCCGTTTTCTCCGGTTTTCCTCCGCTTTAATCTACACAACCGGAAATGGACGAGCATCCTTACGTCAAATGCGGAACTTATGCGTGCATATAGCCCGAATGATGCATGAGCTGGACATGAATAGACATTGCTTGCAGGATAAAAAAAAAAAAAGTAGTAAAACTGCTTATGTAGCTACACAAATATAAACTAAAATGTCTGTAAAAACAAACACTGTATGTATGTATGTATGTATGTATGGCACCTATAGTAGCACACAAGATCAAGTAATTTGATTAAATTTAGTATCCCCCCTACTTCTACTACCTTTGGACGTAATGCCTTCCACTTTGCATCAGTACACGACTGGAACGTACTACAAAATACCCTGAAACTTACATCTCTGATCCCAATCTCCACTTTTAAGCAAAACCTCGAAAATGACATAGTTGACTCTTGTTCCTGCTGATAATCATGAACCATATTTATACGCATATTTAAGCACTCTATTCGTTTTCTTTTTCCTCTTTGTTGTCTTTTTTATTTAGCTGCTTGTTCTAAGTGTTATGTGTTTGACTATGTACAGCTGTACATTATGTTCTTATTTCATGGTCATGTCTGTAAATGAGAAGTGGTTCTCAAACATTTTACCTGGATAAATAAAGTTTTTAAAAAAAAAATGTAGCCCTCAAACCGTATTCACTTTATAGCCCTTAATCCTGTAATTGTGGACAAATGTGGGCAAACTAATTTTTACTTATTATATGTTATATCACTGTCTTCGATAAAGTTTTGTCTATCTATTTATGGTGTTTTTTTTATTTATTTTGGGGGTATTTTTGAATTTATTTACTTCAAAAAGTACCATATTTTCTATGTAAATTATGCTTATTTTTATGTTGTTTTTTATTTAATTTTTTTTAACTACATTAAAATATCATTCCAATAAGTTAAGAGCTAAAGCCTAAAGATGAAGTGACTTTGCTGTCACCTGGTGTCTTATTTTGGCTTATTTTCGAATGCTCTAAATTTCAGTTTTTCCCATTCATTTCTATGGGTGCCCATTTTTGACCCAAATACAAGATTAAGGAGTTTGTCACAAAGATCACTTGGACATGGCTGTCTTTTCGAGAGGCAAAAACAATATAAATACTGTTCGTTTTCTCACACAACCTGCTCATTTTGTGTCTGTACTTACTCTGTGCATGCTCTTTGAGGTGGTGACCATAGACCTCCATTATATGACTGACAGACACGAACGGTTTGACCTAAAAATATCAAACTGCGGAAACAAGACACCTACATCTTGGATGCCCTTGAGGTAAGCTAAAACAAAAGTGAACTATCCCTTTAATGCTCTTGTGAGAGTGACTCCGCCCCCTTCTTTATTTACACAAACCACACATACGCCTTAATATATGTGTGCGTGCGAGAGTTTGTGATTCTCCAGGTCTCCTCTGGGAGTGTTATTCACACCTTAATTCTGGGCAGGAGTAGATGAAAATGTGTGGTGACGTGGGCCGTTGTTATTGATTTTGCTAGACCCTTGTGCAGTGGGGGAGGTTACATAAGCCCAGGCAATTATACCTCGGGCTCATGGGGAGAAGAAACATCCTGGATGTCCACCTGGATCTTCCTCAGGGCTCTGAACACTGATTCATACGCCACGACAGAAAGCACCCAGCTGATCAGGTCCGCCTGCTAGTCCTGATGAATTCGGTTCGGTTGTGACTTCATATAGAGGTCTTTTTCATTTTTCAGATTTTGAACGTCTGATCCACATCCCCGCCAAAAAAAAACATTCACTTTAAGACGGGAGCAGACTGTCTGGCTGATATGTAAATTGCATTGTACGTGATGTTTAGGTGCAAATCAGATGCAACCATAAAAGAGCAGCCGAATATAAAGGCACACTTGGTTTGTTTAACTTGGTACCGTCTCAAACAAAAACTGCTAAATATCTTTCAAAGATGTGATGGTGTCAACCTCACAAACTTTGCCAAATGCAGAGCTTTGTGTCTTGGAAGGCATCACAGTAGCAGACTGGGAACTTGTAAACATGATATTGTTTCCAAGTGAACTGAGACAGGTAGACTGCCAGAATTGTGTAAAGCATACACTTTAAAAACGCAGGGTTGTTTTAACCCAAATTTGGGTCAAATATTTAGATAATTTAATTAAAAGATTTAACCCAACCATATTTGACCCATATTTGGGTTGAAACAACCCAGCATTTTTTAGAGCGTATATAGTTCTCAACTAGTGCTTTTAGTATGTATATTGCTTCTACAAAATGAAACATGAAATTGTGTCAAATTACCATAGACTTCGATTACAAGCACAACCTTTGATGATGAAAGACTAGACTGCAACCCAAAAGACTATTTGTCTTGAACCCAAGCATCCTTCAAACTAAATAAATAAATGTACTAAAGAATTACTAATATAAACATAATCACACTATCATTCTAAAGTTTCTGGTCAGTAAGATTTAATTTAACGTAATGCTGAATCAATAAAGAAATTAATGTTTTTATTCAGCATTAAACGGATAAAAAGAAACGTTGATCAAAAGTAAAGAGATTTATAAAGTCACAAAATATTGTTAGTTCTAATATTTCAAGTAGATGATGTTCTTTTGAACTTTCTATTCATCCCAAACCAGTTGTTTTAAAAGGTAACACAGTCTCCAGATCTCAGTCCAGTAGAGGAGATATGGGATGTGGAGGAACGGGAGATTCAGATTCAACATATCTGACAATATGGACCAAAATCTTTTTCCTACAATGTACACATTAGCACCTAAAATGTTCATATTAGCACCTAAAATGTACATATTAGCACCTAAAATGTACATAACAGCACCTAAAATGTACATATTAGCACCTACAATGTACATATTAGCACCTAAATGTACATAATATGGACCAAAATCTTTTTCCAGCACCTTGATGAATGTATGACATGAAGAATTAAGGCAGTTTTGAAGGCAAAGGAGAGTAAAAAATGGCCAGAGAGTAGTTGAACCAGCTTGGGTTTTTGAGAACAAATGAGCCGAATTCGCCTTATGCATCGTATACGTCGGTCTGTGATCGGTCTCGTTTGAGTTAGAGGCTGAGACTTGGTTTTTAGTGAAAAAAAATACATAAAAATGTGTTATTTAATCTATTATTTACCAGGAAATGAAAAACTAATAGTTTGGCTCATCTTTAAAAGCCCTTGCACACTGAGTCCGAAATTCACGTCTGAAATTTTCACACGTTAAAAAATAAATACGACCTCACATTATGTCAATCATAAAAAAAATGGGATCCGTTTCGATTTTCTGTGGGTTTTTTTTTTTTTTTTTTTTTTTTTGGTGAATGGTGTTTTGACAATTCAGAGCCACCAAATCACGAATACAAAAAAAACACATACGACAATTTTGGACTCTGTGTGCAAGGGCCTTAACAGTCAATGGACTCCCTAGTTTCCCTAGTAAATGGCTTCCCTACAGTTCATTTAAAAACCATTCCATAGTGACCTTTCACCTAGGCATATGTTGATGTGAGTGTATTTGTGCAAATCCTCAGAAAACATGGGTGTCTTACCTGTATATGATACAGGCGCAGTCTCTGCAGGTGCCACAGTTCTCAATGTCCTGTCCCGTTCGGTATGAGTGTCTTCTGAAACCCACACAAAAAAAATAATAACCATGGGTTTTTAAAACCGTCAGCATGTCCTACTGAAGAGAGTTATTGGTGACGGACAGCATGGAATGTTTATAGCTCAAGTCTGTTAAATTGTAGAGTTTGAATCAAACACCGCTGCGGATCCGACGGATGTAGCTCGTGTTCGCCGCGTCCTTGATGAATGACTCTTCTGAGTGTCTGACAGTTATGTAAGAGTGACTCACAGCTAACAGGACTATACTATCATTCTGCTTAATTAAAACACTGCCATTTGTGTGTGTTTTTATATTGTGAATGTGAGACGACACTCTCAGAAAAAAGGTCCAAAAGCTGTCACCGGGGCTGTACCTTTTCAAAAGGTGAACTTTTGTGCCTAAAGGCTGCATATTGGTACCTTAATGATACATTTTAGCACCTAAAATGTAAATAATAGCACCTAAATGTACATAACAGCACCTACAATGTATATATTAGCACCTAAATGTACATAATAGCATCTACAATGTACACATTACCACCTAAAATGTACATATTAGCACCTAAATGTACATAATAGCACCTAAAATGTACATATTAACACCTAAATGTACATAACAGCACCTACAATGTACACATTAGCACCTAAATGTACATATTAGCACCTAAATGTACATAATAGCACCTAAAATGTACATATTAACACCTAAATGTACATAACAGCACCTACAATGTACATATTAGCACCTAAATGTACATAATAGCACCTAAAATGTACATATTAACACCTAAATGTACATAACAGCACCTACAATGTACATATTAGCACCTAAAATGTTCATATTAGCACCTAAAATATACATATTAGCACCTAAATGTACATAATAGCACCTAAAATGTACATATTAGCACCTAAATGTACATAATAGCACATAAAATGTACACATTAGCACCTAAAATGTTCATACAACACCTAAAATTTACATATTGGCACCTACAATGTATATATTAGCACCTAAAATGTTCATATAACACCTAAAATTTACATATTGGCACCTACAATGTATATATTAGCACCTAAAATGTTCATATAACACCTAAAATTTACATATTGGCACCTACAATGTACATATTAACACCTAAAATGGAAAAAGTTTACCTTTTGAAAAGGTATAGCCCCAGTGACAGCTTTTGTACCTTTTTTTCTGAGAGTGTGGAGAACAGCAAGTTTGCATTATGTTTCAAGCAGATCTCTTCAGGAAGTCATACTACAAATGGATTAGTTATAGTTGTCTCTGCACATTAAGCTGTGAGGAAGTATATTAGCGCTGAAAGAATTACCCACTTTCGTTTTCCAGTGTATAGCAAGCGATGCATGATTTCGCACAGGCGCAAAGTGATGATAAGTTAAAGCGAGTCCTCTCTGTGTTTAAGGTGACAGGAAGACTATATGCGTTCATACGGCAACCGAGTCTCACGTGGGATAACAATGCTAGCCTGATTTAGCAGCTCGGCACAATGGGGACTAATTACACATCACAGATTTCCGGAATCTTCCTCCTCTCCTCTCGGCTTCTGGAATTAAAGAGCTGATGGTAATCCTGAGGCACTCGAGCAGCGCTTAAATAATCCACAGATGGGAATCAATCATAGAGACGCTTTTTACCAAACATGCTATATGCCTGCACTTTACACAAAACAACTATATTTCTACAAAAAATAAATAATCTGAAAACAATTATGTTATCTATCTATCTATCTATCTATCTATCTATCTATCTATCTATCTATCTATCTATCTATCTATCTATCTATCTATCTATCTATATCTATCTATCGTGGACAAATTTAACGTCAAAGTAAAATGTTTTTTTTTTTATGTTTTTAAAGGTCATCGTTCTAGCTCTCACATGCAAACACACACACAATCTCTCTCTCTCTCTCTCTCTCTCTCTCTCACACACACACACACAATCAAGCCAACGGTCTCATTAAAAGCCGTTTAAAGTCTCACCTTAATTCGTTCACAGGGGACAGCCTAGTCATTTGTCATTACCACAGCAAAGCTGCGCGCGCGAGTGTGTGTGCGTGGTTGCGTGTTTTTCTATAGACGCTTTCATCAGACGCGTTGCCATGGTGATGAGCTGGCCCAAAGTTAACTTCCGTTCTGTTCGTTTATTAGTGTTTACTGGATAATATGGCATTCACTACAAATGCAGTGAAAGTTAAGGTGATGAGCAGGTTGTTGAGCTGTGGGGTGCAACCTGACCTAGTAGGGAGCAAACGCAATTTTTAAAAAAACAAAAATGTCAAGGTTTCCTATGAGGGAGACGGCGGTATTAAAATAGCCTATGTTTATCTGAGTGATAACCGGTAGGCTACAGTGTTTCCCATACATTTATTAGTGGCAGCCCACCACATTATCAGCGCTGACCGCCACATTGATTTCCGTGTTTTTAACAATTTAAGATGGGAAAAGTTGTAATTGACTGCAGTTGCGTGCAGCGCATATTCGCACGCTCTCTCTCTCTCTCTCTCGCAAACACATTGACAGCGGACTAGTCTGTGTATTGAATGGTTAGTATCGTAAACAGCGCTGCACAGATCCATCCAACATGTGGTCAATGTGGAGACCCACCTTAAAAAAAGGTTAGCAAGCATGTAAGAAGCCTAGCTCTATGTTATTATCCTTATCAAACCCCGCCGTCGCGCTCGCCAGTTTTTTTGAACATTGCGGTAAATCAGACACGTCGGTAGAAAAACATCTTGTCTCCAATTTTTGTTCAACGGGTCTGGTAGTGTCACATTTCAGTTTGGCCAGGTAACATTTATTTTCTTTGACTGGCAAGAAATACCAGTTACTAGGTTATTTACTTGTTATGGATTGTCTCCGCAAGTCTGCCGGAAGTTAAGTTTGGGCCAGATTAATGCACATGCGCAGTACCGTTTGTTTATGTTGTCACTGCTGAAAGCGTCTATACTTGTGGGGACCCGTATCACCGTGGGGACCTAAATTGAGGTCCCCATGAGGAAAAAAGCTTATAAATCATCATACAGAATGGTTTGTTAGTTTGTAAAAATGCAGGATGTTTTCTGTGATGAGTGGTTTAGGGGTGTAGGGTTAGTGTAAGGGGATAGAATAAAGTTTGTACAGTAAACGCCATTACATCAATGTTGGAGAGTTACCGCAAAAATAGCAGACCAGTGTGTGTGCATGTGTTTGTGTGTGTGTGTGGTCATAATGTTAAAGTAGCCAAAATAAAAGAGGAATGTGGCGAAATAATAAATAGCCCTGACAATTTCATTCCTCAGAAGCAACAGAAACGAACAAACAAAAGATGTATCATAATATGAACGAATCATGAGTAAGTTGAGCTATTGCTCATTGAAGGCTTGTACGGTGAGCGGGAGAGGACATGTTCGGTTAACATTGCAGCAATATTGATCAATTTAAAATTCTTTGTTCAGACAACTAGTTGGGACAACAATGCTCGATGTCCAAAAACTAGAAAGTTGATTTGTACGCAGTAGCATCTCAATATGGTAACTTTCCCAGACAGCAAACTGACATTGAATCAACGTGGAAACGACGTCTCTCATGACATCGAAACAACCTTGATTTTGCTCATCGAATTAACGTTGAACCAACGTCAGACGCGGCATTCTTCAAAGCTAAATGAAAATCGAAAATTGGTTTGCTTTCATAACGTTGAAAAAAACGTTGATTTCAAGTTGATTTTCCGTTAGTTTTGAAAGAATGACGCGTCTGACGTTGGTTCAACGTTAATTCGATGAGCAAAACAATGTCAGATCAACGTTGTTTCGATGTCATGTTTCCACGTTGATTCAATGTCAGTTTGCTATCTGGTTTGCACTGGCACGATTGACAATTTTGCGAAATCATTCATGCAAGTTTCTTTTAGCTCAGAAACGCAACAAATACTCGATTAAGAGTTATGAAGGGGAATGTGACATGACTTGAATATGAAGTAAGGTTTATGCATGTTTATGAAGTAAGGTTTATGCATTTTTAAAGGATTCCAGACAATGAATACGGGTCTTATCAAGCGAAACGATCGCTCATTTAAAAAAATAAAAATAATAAAGTTTAAGTTTTATAAGCTCAAATGCTCACCTTGTTCTGTTCTGTGTGACTCTCTTATTCGAACTCGTTCATCGAAATCAATTCGTCAATTCGTTCGTTTTGTTCGTTGAATGAACCAAATGACTCGGAAAAAGATTCGTTCATTTTGATGAACGGGTTCAAACAGGAGAGTCACAAACGTGCGTCACAGAACAGAGCAAGGCAAGCATTTGAGCTTGTAAAACTAAAACCTTATTTTTTTTTTTTTTTAAATGAGTGATCGTTTAGCTTGATGAGACCCTTATTCATCGTCTGGAATCGTTTAAAGCCCTTTGAACAGTTTGCAGTTTGCACTGAAACTGTCTTTTGGACCTTGAACCGTTTGGTTCCCATTGAAGTCCATTATATGGAGAAAAATCCTGAAATGTTTTCATCAAAAACCTTCATTTCAAAAGTGAACTACTCGTGTGAAAATTAATCTGCTATGTCATGTTTATGACAGGTTGTGTTGTCTTAGTAATGTCAAGTTGTCATAAAGACACTGACAGGTTATGATGTATTGGTTTATGTCATATTTATGTCATATTTGCATTAAAAATGTCATAACTGAGCGAATGACACTAAACATGCATAAAACCTAACATATGTCATGTCATGATTATGAAGGTGTCATGTTAGTCTTATGCACACACAAATGTTACAAAAATATGGTGACACCCGCCAAATGAGCCGGGGATTGATTAATGACACACTTCACGAGAACATCTGAAAATTACCCCAAGTATTCTTAGATCCGGTCTCTGCAATGACCTTTCAGTGTTAATTACTCTGAGAGAGACGCTACAGGGATTCGTGAGTAGGTTAAATGTATTATCCATTTTTTCCCGGTTAACTGAATACAGCTGTAGAGCAGATGTTCACACACCACATCTTC